ACACCCTGTGTCGAGGTTTCAGACGGCCTACAGCAAGGGTGGTTCGGAGTTGAACTTCGGGCTCTACAGCTTGGGCACGAGGCCGGGATGTCGTGCCTTCGACAGCCGACCATAATGGCAATGGTGATGACAACTCCCCAAAAACCCCAGTTGTAGGAGGCTGATCCTGGGCATGTTGCCTAAAACTCAAGGGGTATTGAGCGTTCCAGTCTAAACCCTAAACCCTGAGCCTGAAGCCCTCCCTGAGTCTGTGTCAGGAAACTGGGTATGACCGGGGACGTCTGCGACAGGAAAAGCCCTTGCATGAAGTGGCCGGTGTTATGCTTCTGGGCCGCCTATTTTTGTTTAAGGTGTTTGGGGCTTACAAGGAGCTACTACAAGAGCGGGATTTATAGTTATATATATATTATATATATACACATATAGGTATATGTACATAGGCATACACATAACCTTAGATTATAGACTGCATACTAAGATCGTGCGTTGGGATGCAGGGTTCAGAGTCGGGAGGTGGGTGATTTGGGGTCTGAAGAGCTTCCGCAACCGTGGAGAAAAGCTTCGAGGTCAAGGCCAGGTCCCAGCACCTCAGGTGGTCCTCACACAGTCGCAGCAGCAGAACTTAGGGTTCAGGGTGTAAGGCTGCCCAGTCCTCGGTTCTGTGCTCAGTGGGGTGCTGGCATTCATCAAGTCCAGATGTAAAAAAAAAGGCTTCAGAATACTGCCACGAGTGCAGCGGCTGACATCCGACATCCAAGAGGTTTGAGGTTTAGGGTTATATACATAGAGACTGGGCCCGCCGGGCTTGGGGGTTTGGGATGCATTCCGGCATTGCCCGACCGACGTTGAAGCTAAGCCGAAGTCAACACAAGTCCGACTTTTGCCGGATGTCCCCGGCCCGAATGAACGTCCAAGGGAGGCCCCGAATGTTAACTCGACATCATGTTCTGGCGATCCTTTCAGCATAGAGCCGCAGGCCTCTACGACTTCATGGGGCCTGTTATGGTGTATGCTTTGATTACAGTAAGCCTTTCTGCGACCTAATTATAGTATCCCCCCCTTGAAGTACACCGGTAGCAAGCCTTTTAAATGGGCCCTAAGCCCCTTTGCAAGCTCTTGGCCCAGGCTTGAGCACGGAGCTCCCATGGTTCCAGGCCCAGAGTTCTGGGTCTTGTTTAATGAGAGGCACGGTGACGGATAAAGGGATGACATCTGAGATATGCTGATGTTGGTGTCTTGTCCAGGTGCACTGCACAGTGGGACTCAAACAGCTAAGACGAACCTTGCAATCACGTGGCTGTTTGCTTTTTTGCGGTGGTGATGACACTATGAAGGATGGTGCTTACATAATGGCCCAGCAAGAGATCTGTTGGACGCTGTTCGGTAGCAGGCATGAACGAAGTCGCACCTCCCCAACCGTGCCGAAGCAGACACATGGCAATGCTTACATGGGTGCCGTGAACAAAACGATATTACTGATGTTCGTTTCTTTTGAGTAGAATGACATGAAATCTTCGATAAACAACAACGGGTAGCAACAGCATCTTTTCAGTGCAATGGTGGGCATGATAGTCTGATAGTGGCGGACCATGAGTATGATGATGACTACCATGCCGGCCGACGACCATGAAAATCATGACTCCGGTACGATGCTGATGTTACCGGCATGATGACTGTCGCACTGGTATTAGCCAGGTGCTGGTGGTGGTGATGATGCGGTTATGGACAGGAGCGAAATAGCAGTGCCTTGGATGATGTAGTTGTGCCCGTCATGGTCGTCATGGCGATATATGGTGTCGGTCGTGGCCTGCTGGTGGCCGTCCTGGTGCAGGTGCAAATTACACAACTCCTTTGGCTTCGTAGGCAGATAAGATGACGATCGACAGCCAAGAGGAATTCAAGCAACACCAAGAAGAGCATTTCATAGATCGAGGAGGAGGGCGGGAGTCAAAGGCAGGAGCAGGCCTATGGCGGGCACAGCATGTGAAGCCGTCGTGTAGTGGTAGTAGTAGGTGTAGTGGTGGCGGTAGTAGTGGTCGTCGGTGGCAGTTGTAGCAGCAGAAGAAGCAACAGAGATGGTAGTCGTCCCCTTTTTTCTGGAACTTCAATTCAAGCCCAGTGACGATTTGCTCTTGCGCAGTCGAAGCCCCAGCTGGCCAAACGGGCAACAGCGGTGGCGGCAGCTTGGGGCGGCGATGCCGCAGCCGATTCGCCCGGCTTGTGCTCGTGAGGTGGGCTTTGAGAAGGCATAGCTTTGAAGAACTATTAGCCTCAATGCTGCGAATTGTCCCTGCTTGTGCAGACATTCCTGCCGAATCTCATCCTGCATGCCAGGCATTTGTGCTGACACCTCTTTGGACGAAGCTGCGGGGATGTTCATGGTTTTCCTTAAACCATCACGAATCCGAAGCTGTTCTTGGGGTGTGCAGCTGGGGCGACCCCGGTCGCAGGACGGGTGGTGCTAGGACCCATCTCTAAGGTTGTGCAGGACACTGACTAGTCCGGACTGTTCAAACTACCTGTCTCATCAACATCATCATGTGTTTACTTGCTGAGGACAATGCAAGCCAGAGAACCCCATGTCCCTACATGAAGATACCCTAAACTTCCAAGCGTTATTGAAATGTCCGGCCCTAAACCCTGAGTTCGGTGCTGTCTTACGCTTGGAGGCCTCCATGAGCATCCACGAGGCGCTGACGAAGCCAGTTTTCCTCGCTGCGAGTCTTCTCGCGATTCCAGCTCACGGGTCCGCAAGGCTCATGACGGTTGAGGACAGTTTAGGGCGAAGGGCCCTTAGTCCGGCCTTTACGGGCAAGGAACTAAAGCAGCTTAGGCGTTTTTAGGGTTTAGGGACCGGTCCCAGCTAGAAGCAAGCCGTACGGCAAGCTGTTAAGTCATGGGATGAAGCAGGACAGACAGCAGCATTTGAAGCCATTGATTTGTGTCAACTGTTGTCAGCAGCAGTCTTAGGCAAGGCTGTCATGAAACGAGAGGATTCATAAATGCTGCGGCTCATTTCAGTTTCGCGCAGGTTGGACAACGCATCCACCAGTACACATGCAATGTGTTTTTGTTCGTTACTGGGTTCTTTGGGGTTTTGTCGCTGAAGTCTTGGTGGACACATTATTCGCATTTGTGGTTGTGGCCTTGCGAGACCTGTGACTGACGATCAGTGGTTCCACGGCGCACGGGCTTCCTCAACCTCGGGCATATGGCATGGCAGACTGTGGCCGACTATGTACCAACTTCTTGTACTCGCTGTGGTAGCTGTCGTTTCGCTTTGCTACCGCACTTGTTTGCACGAGGCCAGGGCAACGACAAACATGCAAGAAGCCAAACGTGCCCCGGTTTTGAGGGATTGCGAGTCCTTCCCGAACCAATATAGGGTTCACATAGGAGTCCGACCACACGTGTCACGAGTGTGCCCCGAGAGGGACACACTTGGGGACTCATTCCCAAGAGCACTTCTGAATCTGGGTTTGGCTTTGAGGGCTGTTAGCTTGTGGGTATTCGTGTTTCGGGGGTCTTTTGTTGAAGCTGCTCATGTACAGATCCCGAGTGGCAGAATTCAGTACCTGGGAAAGCCAGTATCACCTCTTTCCCTGCATTTTTGCCTTTCGCCCTCCAGGTCACAGCCGAAAGAGCTGTGCGAGTTTTGTCCTTAGCAGCTTAGATACTCAAGCACTCTGGAGGAGATTGCAGGCCGGGAAGACTTGTGAACTCCCTAAGCGGAAGGTGAGCCTATTGTGGTTCTTTCTGGGGGGGGGGTCATCTGTGACAGGAGCCAGTAGCTTGAAGTTAGGGCAGGGGCAGGGAACCATGCGAGTTTTGTTTCTTTGCGCTCACGAGTTTTGAAATACCTGGCGACAACTGCCGAATGTTCGTTGCGCTTCTGCCGATGTCGTACTGAGCACAACAGTTTGCCGGTTGCTCCACCGCCACCACCACGACTACCACCGCAACCACCACAACCACAAACAGCAGATGCACAACCATGACATCATCATTATCACCATCATCAACGACATCGACAACGACATCAACATCACCAACAGCAGCAGCAACAACAGGAGGCCACCTCACCAAGAACCACAGCAACAACAGTGTGAAACCTGCTGCAGACGAGCCATCAGTGCAGAAAAACTCGGTGTGTGAAATGTTCCAGACGCACCGCACAAGCAAGGCAGCAGGAGCTACACTCGAGCACAGGGAGCATGGTATGGAGGAAGGAGGAGGAGGTGGAGGAGGAGGGTTTAGGGGTTTAGGGTTTAGGGCAAGGGCAAGGGCAAGCAAAGCATTTTGGGATGTGGGTTTCTCGAGATGTGCTTCGTAAACTTATTCGCAAGTTCCACTGCCTGCAGTCGGCCCGCACAAGACGGCTTGAGTCGGCTAGGCATTCCATGTATCCGACTTCTACCTAGCCCAGTTCTCTCGAGATGGTATAATACGCTAATGTCAGAGAGTTGGAGACATATGATTACCGAGGTGGCACCTGTCATGACTTTACACTTTACACTTTCTCACTTTGGGTTCATCCGGTCTGGATGAGGTCTGGATGCATAGCTACAGAGTGCCGGGAAAGCTTCATCGCGTGCGGGAGAGGCCAAGATCACCAGAGAAGCAACGGTACGGTAGAACATGAAGAGACTTTAAGTTCGGGGGAAGAGTCTTTCACTGGAGTAGTAACCCTAAGCCCTAAGAATACAAATTTAACTTCCAAAAGCACCCTCCATAAGGATCTGCCGACCCTCGCACGAGCTGAAGTGATAGTGCAAAGTGCTATAGGTGGTGTGAAGCCCCTAGCTTCCCGCAGCAGACGGGCGCCAAACAGTCGTCGCAGCTTGAAGTCCTATAGTTACCATAATAAGGATCCATAGTAGATGATATGGCTTCCATGTTATTGTGGCAGTAACTGAAGTTAAACCCGTTAGCAAGAACTCAGTATCTCACAGAGATCCGAGAGCAGGAACGTTTTTTTGCTTTTGCTGCTCTGGAGCCAGGCTGCATGGTCCTTGCAGGAGAAGCAGATGGAAGAGGACATGGTATGAAGTTGTTTGACCAATGCAGCACCGGATTTGTGTTGGGAGTTCTCACATGGGGTCGGGCTGAAACTAAATAGACACGTATAACCACATCAAGACAACAATGTAGATTCGGTGAAAAGATACAGGTCATAGAATCGTATAGATCAACATGTGAAAGATACTAGGCACATCATTCATACATACTTACAAGATGCATGTTACAGTTCTACATGCATACTTGCTCACATACATGCCTTTATGCAGCTAGTAGTTCTCGGAAGCGAAAGTGGACTACCGTGATGATATAAATCCAGCATTACCTTAATGGCCTAAACTATGGGAATTATGGCATATAGCTGATCATGGGTAATGCAGGATTTATGTCATCAACCGTATTGTGTCGCATCTGAGGGCAGTAGTAAGCAATGTTTGGATCATCGAGACTACAAAGAGGATGAACCCATATACATGCTCATGTCTTGTACCAAAATTTGATTTCAGCTCGTGCTGGGCTCGGTTGCCATACACCAAACACAGCAGCAGAACAGGTTGGTAACGTGCAACGCTAAGCCTTCATCTCGCAGCTCACCATCACCATCGAAATCCTCGAAGAGAAGTACCATCTCCGCTGTCCTCAGCAGCCCAGTACATTCATAAACTGCATGGTGGCCATCGGCCGCTTAGCAGCAATGTCCGCCAGCATTATCACCAGCTCCTGCGTCGCAGCCAGCCTCGTAGCAATTTCTATGACCACCGCCTACCAGCAGTATCATTTCCAGCCATGCCATTATGGAACTAATGCTGAACAAAGAGAGTGATGGCGACAGTTGTGCTTTTATTGAGGCTTTGTTTTGCGAAGCAACATCAGGCCGGACTAAGTAGCCGTTACGATCGCCCCATGTACTGAATTGTTTGTCAGTCGCCGTAGCTCGCAGAGCGCTGCCAGATGGTGGTTTCGTGTTGGTATCGGCATCTACACATAAAATATTATATATATATATACACACGTATGTATGTATGTAGGTATGTATGTATGTATATTATAACAACACATACTCCAATATTCTTGGCAATCCTTAGGCCAAAATGAGTAAGGACCTCCCACGAAGTGATTGCCTTCATAACGGTTGAAATGTTGGCTCAAGCTTGCTGGCACAAGAAGGCCAGCGACGCAAGTCCGGTGCAAAACTGGGCTTGCCTTGCGGGTTCATGAAACGTTTGTATTCATGCGTCTATCCTAACCGCACGAGCTAGGCCTAAGCTCTGCTGCTGGGCGAAGACGGGCAGGTAGACGGTAGAGCATCGAGCAGCTCAAGGGGGTTTAGGGTTAAGGCTCCAGCTCCAGCTACAAGCTCACAGCCGACACCCCCGATCCGAGGCCACGTAAAATTGAACCCTCCGGCCGGCCCAATGAAACTCCCAACGTTGAACACACCCCAACCTGACCCGGCCGCATCCTCTGATAGTAGCCCCGCAGATTCGCCTTCATAGTCACCGTTTCATAAAGCAGCAGATCCCAGTTGTAGTAGCCCTTATAGTACCTAAAACCCCAAAAGTAGGTAAAATAATAGCCCAACACCTCTAAAAGGCTTTTAGTCTACATACTTTGAGGGTCCAGGTATTGGTCCTCCTTCCAAAGAGAGCCATGGCATGGAAAGCCAGAGATGCCACGGCCCCTTGGCTCCGCGCTTATGGGGCGGACCGCATCCTCCTTCGAGCAAGACATGGTCCGTAGTAGAAAACCTTAAGACTTATGTAAGTTAAATTCGGGGAATATGTATGTATATTTGTATACACACACATATATATATATAGATAGATAGATAGAAAGATGCATTGTTACACAAGGCTTGCGTGTTTGAGTTTCCTCCGAGCAGCAGGTTCTTGTGGTCGATGTCGGCGAGTCGATGCAGGAGACCTTCGCCGAAGCAAGCGATGGCAACAAGGCACATCAGTATAAGGCTTCTCAAGCTCAGGGTCAAGGTATGTTTCGGGCACCAAGATTTTTAGAAGGATCCTTGCATAGCAGGGTTCCCGAGTTTCTGAAGTTGCCACGTGTCAGTGCTGCATTGGGCCAGCGACTAGTGCCGTGAAGCTCTGACACATTGTGCTGCTACGCTCGCAGTTCATCCAGTGCTGCAAACTCAAGTTGCTATATCGGAACCGGGCGTTTTCGTTGGGCCTGCCTTGTTCACGGAGCTCACCAGGTTTCACTGGATCCAGTTGCAAGGACCTGAAGGATCTTCAAAGGCATCATGTGCATATTGGAAGCCGCAGGTGACTCGAGCACAGACGGCCGTTGCTGAGCTGAAACCAGCTTCCGGGGTTCTGTCAGCATCTGTGTAGTATACACCGCACAGAACTGCTTCCCGACGCCATCCCTGAGTCTGATCTAATTAGTTGAGCTGGTGCAGCCCTCAAATTCAAAGCATCGTATCCGTGGACAGTTCCCCACAGCTGACCGCAGTTGTAGTGATGGAGATTTTCGAGAGCACGTACGGTGACACAGTTCTACGACATGAAATCAAGTAATGAAGCTTCAGTTCAAAGCCGCTGGTTGCTTCGACTTGGCAGTAGCAGTCATCAAAACAAGTGAACACGCCATTCCCGCTGCAATGAAATAACCATGAGCCGTGCTGAAGCTATAATTGGCGATGACTGGCACGACGGCCACAACCAGGCATAGTGGCGGCGTTCTTATTGATGCGTGCTTTGTTGATTTGGTTGCTGCTGTTGCTGTTGCTGCACATGCTACTGTTGTCATTGCTTTCGCCGTCGGTGTGGCTCGTGTATGTTGATGAAGCTAGTGCTGTCATGGTGCGTTGTGAACTGTTCACATTGTTGCTGCAGCAGCATCCCCACCACTATAGTCACTAGCCACGGCACCACTTCTGCCACGAAGAAAAGCCATTTGGCAGCGAGGGCGGTCAGCCAAGGCCGGTGGTGACAGAACGAAGACATACCGCTGCATGCTTCCAGTGACCAGAGTCCCGTCCACAATGCGCCTTTATATGTGTGTTTGTGTGTACATACATATATATATATATATATACATACGTATTTATGTATGTATGTATATATATATATATGTATATATGTGTATACATGTATGAATTCCATGTACATATATTCACAGGAATGCTAAGGTCGGGATTGCATCGAAGCTTGTGCAGCATCGCCTCTTCTTTGCTCCGAAGCACGAGGCGTTTCCGAGTTGTGCTCCCCTTCAATGCGAAATTCCAATGGTTTAATCGCTAAGATTCGCCCAGAAAGTTATTGGACGCTTTCAGCCGAGGGACCTGAGCCAAGGCGCATGACACGGCGTTGCCACCAAGTCTTTAGAGCTCGTCCTGCCCAAAACCCGGCGGCACAACGTATGTAAACTTTTCCACGAACAGTTATAGAGCCCTTGGAGAGCACCGTAAAGCCTTGAATCTACAGAACTCAGCACCCGCATCGAGCATTGTGGGACCCGCGGAAAGCTACCTCCGGAGCAGGTGGGCCTCGTCTTCTTCGGCACTGCGGAAACGAGCAATGATTTGCAGGAGCTAGGGTTTGGGGGTTTTCGCAGCGTTGAAGCCTGGAGTTTAGAAGCGCAAGACTCATTGAAAAGTGCGTACAGTATGTGGGGCGTAGTTCATAAAGTAGGGGCACCTCGTTTAGGGCATTTGGGTCCTTAAGGTCACATATACCGCTGTACCTTTGGCATCTCCCAGCCAGAGTTCTTCGCAGCTGATGCCCATGATGCTGAGCTGGTCCGAGCCCTCTCGAACTGACTTTATGCTGCCGCCCCATTCGTTTCTCCAGCTCTTTAGAATGCGGGGCCAAGGCATTTCGTGCTGGTGCTAACGATGCAGCTCCGTCTCGTTTTCTCAGACCCACCTGCGGCTGACCATGAGCACGATTCCGGCCAATCGCGTGTACCCCAGCACAAATTTATTTATCATGCTCACCAGCCGCTCATCTTCAATCAAGCCCATGATGCTCGAGATGCTGGTTTGCAAGGCCTAAACCCAAACACATCGCAGATGACTCTGGTGATGCGGTCCGTTCCTGTGTCCAAGCCCTAGCTGTTTCCAGGCTGGTGCTCGTGATGTTAACCTGTTGGTTGCAGGCTAAGCCATTTTGCAGCTGATGCTCGTGATGCTCAACGTTCGTGTGTGCTAGACTATGCTAGACCCACATATTTCCAAGCTGATGCTCGTGATGCTGGCCGCGCGTGTGGAATATTTCCCAGCTCCAGCTGATGCTAGTGATGCTGACCTGTTGCTTGCTTCGCCATAGCAATTCGCAGCTCATGCTCGTGATGCTGGCCGTTCGTGTGTCAAAGATCCACTAAATTTCCAAGCTGATTTTCGTGAAGCTAACCTGTTGCTTGCGGGGCCAATCAGCACACTGGTGATGCGGCCGTTCGTGTGTCCAAGACTCCCTTGTTTTCAAGCTGACGGACTTGTTATTGCTGCAATTCGCAGCTGATGCTCGTGATGCTGACATTTCGATCCCAAAGCCACAGAAATTCGCATTTGCTGCTAGTGATGCTGGCTTGATTGCGCGGCCAAAGCAATTGTGCCAAGCCCGCATATTATGTAGCTGAAGCTCGTGATGCTGGCTGTTCCTTTGTAAGTGATGCTCGTGATTCTGACTTGTTGCTTGCGGGGCCAATGCAATTCGCAGCTGATGCTCGTGATGCTGACTTGTCGATTGCAGGACCATGGCAATTGGCAGGTGATGCTCGTGATGCTGGCCGTTGGTGTGTGCTAGACCGACATAATTCCAAGAGAATGCGTGATCAAGGCAATTCGCGGCTGATGCTCCTGGTGCTGGCATTTTGATTACGGAGCTACAGAGCTACAGCAATTCGCAGCTGATGCTCGTGATGCTGGCCGCGCCTGTAGGTATTTCCAAGTTGATTGATGCTCGTGACGCTGACTTGTTGATTGCGGATATTGCGGAGCCGAAGCAATTCGCAGCGGATGCTCGTGATGCTGACCAGTTGATTGCAGGGCGAAAGC